AAAATAGCGGCGTAGCAACCTTCTGCTCCTGGCCAATCTCCTCTAACAGCCTTCTCAGCCAAATCACCTCCTTCACCCCATGGAACATCGCCATGTACTCTGATTCTACGGAAGAGAGTGCCGTCTCCGTCTGCTTCTTGGACCTCCAACTAACAGGTCCTCCCCCAACTACGCAGATGTATCCTTCCACAGATGAGGAATCCTCCTTCTCAGAAGCCCAAGTAGCATCAGTAAAGCAAGTTAGAAAGAGCTTGCCTTCTCCAAGCCTCTCCCCCTTCTCTTTCAGCACCTCCACCCCTTTCTGCTTCACCTATGCAGATGCGGAGTATTGAACTCCAATGCTCGGGTGAGAGTTCAGGTACTTCACCATACGCTCAGCTGCATCCACCTGCTCCTCTGATGGATTCTGCACCACCCTAGCCAGCTGCCCAACCGAGAAAGAGATGTCGGGCCTTGTGTGAACCGCTGCATACAAGAGGCTGCCCACCAAGGACTGAAATTGCTGCTGCTCCTCGGCTTCAACCCCTTCATCCTCTGCAGCCTTCACAAGCTTAAATTCTGCTGGCAGGGGAGTTGCAACCTTGCGCTCATTCTCAATCCCATACTTCTCCCCCAGCTCCTTGATAAACTTCTCCTGGTGCAGCTTCAACCACCTGTGATCAGGATCCCTCTCCACGTGCATCCCGAGGTAGTACTTTACCTCCCCAAAGTTCTTGCACTTGAAGTTTTCCATCAGCTGCTGCTGCACTTTCTGGATCTCCTTCATGCTGCTGCTGAAGAGAAGAATGTCGTCCACATAGACCAGAAACAGCACCAGCTCCTCCCCCTCGCCCTTGAGAAAGAGGCTCTCATCACAGCTGCTGGTCCTAAATCCCAACTTCTGGTACCAGCAGCGTGGCGCCTGCTTCAAGCCGTAGATGGACTTGTTGAGCTTGCACACCCTGCCCGTACCATCCTCATACTGCGTCATGTACACATCCTCCTCTAAAATCCCATTGAGGAATGCCGTTGATATATCCATCTGAATGATGAATTTCCCACTAACGGCTGCATCTGCCAACAAGACACGGATGGTAGGGGGTTTGGCAGTGGGAGCAAAGATCTCGTTGAAGTCCTGCTTCTCCTTCTGCATAAACCCCTTATAGATGGTCACCTGCCCCTTGTCATCGGTCTTGATCCTCAGCACCCACTTGCATTGTATCGCTTTCTTCCCATCAGGCAGCACCACCAGATCCCATGTCCCATTCTCTAGCAGGCTCTGGTACTCAGCATCCCTAGAAGCCAGCCACTTGTCCATATCTGGTCCAGCTAGTGCCTCCTCCATGCTAGCTGGTTCCTCTGGTGCAGGGGCAAGAAAACAGTATGCAGGCTCGTCCTCCTCATCCGGGTCATAGCCATGAGGTAGAATCAGCATTGCCTCCTCGGTCCCAAGCTGCTGCTCCGCTACACCTGATCCTGCAGTCAGATTCTTTGTAGCCATACGGGTACGTCCCGTCCTGGAGACGGGTGTCTCCCATCCCTTCATAACGACACCTTTCGGCTTCTTAGTTTTCCCCTGCTGCTGCTCTCCTCCCTCAGATCCAGCAGCTCCACTAGTGCTGCCACCAGTTTCCACACCATTTTCTCCACCAGCAGGTGCCTCCTGTACCTTCTCTCCATCACCATTCCCCGCAGCTGCCTCCTCTCCCTCCTCCCACACACTAGGATTCAGGTCCAGCTGCATGGTGATCTGCTCCATCTGCTGGGACACCCGGGCCTCTGGCTGTTTCTCCCAGCTCCCATACATCATGCCCTCAATGAATTTCACATCCCTGCTGTCAAACAACACACCCTTGGATGGTTCCCACATTAGCGATCCCTTGCTCTCAGCAGCCAGCCCCAAATGCACACACTAGATTGCACTCGCCCCCAATTTACTGCGGTTGGTCTTGGAGACGTAGGCGACTGCCATGCAACCGAACACCCTCAGCATGTCCACCGGCGACTTCCTCCCAAGCCACCTCTCCAAAGGCACCCACGAGTCATCCCCAACCTTGGTGAGCACCCTGTTCCTAGCGACGGTGGCGTGCCGGACAGCATGAGGCCACATAGAATTGCTCAGCCCAGATTCTATGAGCAACGCCCTATCTGTTTCCAGAATGGTCCGGTTTCCCCGTTGGACTGTGGGGTATAAGCCGTGGTCAGCTCCCTCTGGATGCCCTGCTTCTTGAGCCAAGCCGTCATTTCAGATTCAAGGAACTCACCACCCCGGTCTTTCCTAATCCGCTTCAGGATACACTCCGCCTGCTTCTCCACGAACGGCAGCCAATCGTCCCGTATCGTGGAGGCGGCGTGGTCCTTGTGCTTCAGCGGATACGCCCACATTAGCCTGCTCCAGTCATCCACAATTGTAAGGAAATACCGCTCCCCCTTGTGCCCTTGCACCGGCAGCGGCCCCACCAAGTCCATGTGGACCAGCTCCAAAGGCTTCTTGCTCCTGCCAGCGACACTATGAAAAGGGAAACGAGTGAACTTTGAAAGCAAACAGATTTCACAGTTGTCATCGGATGGCTGTCCGTTCAGCTTCAATCCTTTAACGGCTCCATCTTTCTCCAGCTGCTTCAGCAAAGGCATTGCCACATGCCCCAAGCATCGGTGTGCCGTTGCCCAATCCGTCTCCCCAGATCTGGCCGACACTTTCACGCCAACCCCTCCAACGGCGTTGCACTCCCCCTGGGATGCAGACCCCTCTCTAGCCTGCCCCCCACCGTGCCACGCCAACGCCGGCAGCTGCCACATGGATCTGTACACGTCCTTGCTCTTGTGCAGATCCCAAAGCACCCGATTGCCCAGCTGCCCCTTGTACGTGCTAGTGCTCACCCCAGCCTTGGCAAGCTTACGGAGGGAGATGAGGTTGGCCTTGAGGTCGGGGACGAGGAGAACGTTGTGCAGCACCACCGGCTTGCCATCCGCTCCCTTAAACGCAGCTCGTCCCGCACCAGCCACCTTCAGCGCGTGTCCAGAGGCGGAGCACACCTCGTTAATCGGTGCAGCGCGTACGTCATCCAGCAGGTCTTTGCGCGGCGTCATCGTCCAAGCAGTGCCCGTGTCCAACACCCAATAGTCCAGGGGGTGCAGCTCTGCTCCAACCTTGGCAGAGGCGTCTCCTTGCTCCCCCTGCTCTCCAATATGGAAGAACTGGCCCGCGGTGCGCTCCTTCTTCTTCTCCGCACCGCCGTTGCCTTTCGGGTTGTTGTCAGACTAATCAGCGACAATGCTCGTGCCGTTTTTCTGGTTCCTCCACGCGCCACCATCCTGGTGACGATTCTGGGGGGTCCATCCATCGGGTTTCTTATAGCACAAAAACCAGGGGTGCCCCTCCTTCTCACAATACCAGCAACTCCCTTTCATTTTGCCACCAGCACCTGACATGCCCCCACGTCCAGATTTCGCACCGCGACCCCAACCGATACCTCCTTGTTGGTCGTTAGAGTCGTCGTCCTTCTTTGCACCGCGCCCAGCACCACCGAAGCCATGCCCCCACGTTGGTTCCCTTGCATCCCGTAGCCGCTGCTGCCGTCGTCTCCACCCCTCAGTTGGCGGCGACGGAAGTCCTACTCCAGAATCTTCGTCCGCACCGACTCGAGCGTCCACAAGTTCTGGTTCTGCGGCAGGCTCAATCCGCTCGTGAATTGAAGCCACGATTCCGGCAGCAGCGAAAGCATCTTCAGGCACTTGGTCTGCTCCAGGTAGGTGATTCCCGCGGTCGCCAACTTCGCATAGAGGTCGCGCATCTTGTCCAGAACTGGTTGCACCGGCTCTCCCTCGCTCAATTGCAAGGCAGACAGCTCCCTCTCCATCATGAGCGTCGCGGCGACGGAGGTAGGAGCGTGCAGCTCCTTCAGCACGGTCCACGCCTTTGGACCGCAATCAACCTCCGGCAGCAGGTGCATGACGTGGTGACGCTGGTTCAGCTCCAAACTCTGCGACATCAAATAGTAGCCAGCCGAGGCGCGCTCGTCCCAATCTTCCTGCAGCGTGGGGTCACTCGGTCTAGGCTCTTCCCCAATCATTAGTTTCAGCAATCCAATCTGACGGAAATAAAGCTGCATTTTCCAGGCCCAATCATCATAGCCCTCACCATTGAACTTCTCGACGGTGAAATTCTTCAGCACCTCCTTGATCAGCGAGCTCTGGTTGGTTCGCGCTCCCCTTGGCGCCGAAACACCAGAATCTTGGCTGCCGCTACGATCTTGGGCTGAAGATTCACCAGCTCCCGCCGAGGTGTTGCCCGCCATAGCTACCTATAACGAGGATCACTATAACGCAGCTCTGATACCAGCTTGTTGGTGTAAGGGCCTAATAACTCAGGCTACTAAGACTTTATCAAACTTAAAACCTCTCCTCGGGGTCATCTCCAAGGGTCCCTGGGTGCCTGGTACAAGACCAGCTCCTATCCTCGGGTCCGAGTTTGTAGAGAGAGGAGTCAAGAATGACTTAGCCAAAATAACGAGAGTACCTTGAACGTCGCGCAGCGTGCCGTGCAGATCGTCGATCGGATTAAGCTGAGAATTTGCTATAACGAAGCTCGCTCCAAGAGCTTTAAATTAAGCCTAGTTGCCTCGCGAAAAGTTCTGCCATTACTAAATTATGGCTCGGACAGCGTTTGCCTAGCGTGGGAGTGCTAGCATACTAGCGTTGACTCGGGTAGCATTCCGCCGTCGAATAGCGCAGAAACGAAACTCCAGCGAGGAAGGAATTCGCTTGAATCAATTGACTATATTCAGGTACAAACAGAGAAGGAATAAATAGTTATAGCTAGCAAGGACCTTGGGAATCAACCTGGGAAGAACCAGGGATGATCCCAAATAATTCCAAGCAACAGAACCAACCTGGCTGGACAAAATAGTAGGTGGTAGGTTGGTAAACAACTCCTGGTTCTGTTTTTCCAACCTGGGAAAACAACAACCAGGTTCAGGTTCAAAAAACAGAACCTGTTTTGTCTTTGCCCAACCAGCCAAATGCTGGTTCCGCTGGTCTCCCCTGGCCCTGTAGCATGCAGGTACAGACAAAAAAATCCAACCTTCACCCAAATTGTTGTCAGAATGTATTTGCTGTCTAGCCTGCAGTGGGGTACTCTGTAATGAGTACAACCCAATTAGGGTGGTGTACTTGTATCCCAACTCTTGCTAGTGACACAACTCTCCTTCTCAACTTTCTCGACTTTCACCTTACACCCTAAAACCTAAGCTACTAAGGCACCTAAACTATGGCTTCTAAGCCAAACTCACGCTAGGTATTTCATCATGTTATCAGAGCTTAACGCTCCTGGCCTGTGGGCCCACTTACTTCCGCTGCCCTACTGTGTGTCGCGCGCCCCGTGGCGCGCGACCTCCTATTTTTCTTCCCGCCACGCGCTCGGGGCGCGTGGCGGTTTTCTACCCGCTGTGCGCCCCGAAGCGCGCGGCGGGTTCCTCTCTCGTCGCGGCGTCCTGGGGGCCTGCGCGCCGGCCCCGAGCGTCGCCTCGTCGCGGCGTTTTGGGGGCCCGCACGCAGGCCTCTCCCGTCGCCTCGTCGCGGCGCTTTCGGGGCCCGCGCGCGGTCCCCTCCCGTCGCCCGTCGAGGCGCTCTCGGGAGCCCCTGGAGCAGCCGCCACTGCAGCAGCAGCCTCTGGAGCCGCCGCCACTACAGCGAGCAGCCGCCCCAGCAGCAGCAGCCCCTGGAGCAGCCGCCCCAGCAGCAGCAGCCCCTGGAGCAGCCGCACCAGCAGCAGCAGCCTCTGGAGCTGCCGCCACTACAGCGAGCAGCCGCCCCAGCAGCAGCAGCCCCTGGAGCAGCCGCCCCAGCAGCAGCAGCCCCTGGAGCGGCCGGCCCAGCAGCAGCAGCCCCTGGAGCAGCCGCCCCAGCAGCAGCCCCTGGAGCAGCCGCCCCAGCAGCAGCAGCCCCTGGAGCAGCCGCCCCAGCAGCAGCAGCCCCTGGAGCAGCCGCCCCAGCAGCAGCAGCCCCTGGAGCGACCGCCACTGCAGCAGCCGCCCCTGGCCCCTGCAGCAGCCGCTCCTGGACCCGGTGCAGCCGTGGGGGGGTGGGTGTGGGGGTGCTGGTTGTGGGGTGTCGGTTGTGCGTGCCGTCCCCTCCTCCTCCTCCTCCTTCGTCTCCCACTGCTGCAGCTCTCGCTGAGGGGGGTGGATGTGTGGGAGTCTGGGGTTTAGGGTTTAAGGGGGTGCTGTGGGTGTAGGGCTAGGGTTTGAGCAGGGGGTGTGTGAGAGGGGCGTTAGGCAGCTGGGGAGGTTGAGTGGAGGCAGCAGTCTTGTCGTCAGCAGCAGCAGCAGTCCGGAGGCTACAATCTCCGGTAGTCGCCAGTCGCCCGTGGGTCCGTTGCTCGTCTGCCGCTACTTTTAGCCGCGGGGCCAGTTACCCCAGTAGTCCGGAGCGCTGTTCCGGTAGCCACTGAGCCAGCAGCTCGTCTGTGTGTCTGCAGCGTCAGCAGTCGCCTCCCATCTTCTCCCCCCCACGGTCTCTCCTCCTCCTCACTTGCCCTCTGTGATTAGCTCTAGCCTTACTTACCTATTGTGAACTCTTGCTCTATGCTTGCTTATTGTACTGATTACACCCCACTTTGGCTATGGGGGTGTGTCAGAATGTATTTGCTGTCTAGCCTGCAGTGGGGTACTCTGTAATGAGTACAACCCAATTAGGGTGGTGTACTTGCATCCCAACTCTTGCTAGTGACACAACTCTCCTTCTCAACTTTCTCGACTTTCACCTTACACCCTAAAACCTAAGCTACTAAGGCACCTAAACTATGGCTTCTAAGCCAAACTCACGTTAGGTATTTCATCTAAATTGTACCCCTATAGTGCCTGCCCTGCTACACTATAGTCAACCAAACAAAACAGTACAATTTCGAGTTGGATAGAACTGAATCTGCGCAATCAATTCAACCGAACCGCAAAGCTTCCATCTTGGGTTCCTTCGCGAGCTCGTCCTTTCTGTTTGCACTGTTCATAGCACGTACAATGTTGTGCCGAAGCGCACATTGCACGAGTACCTGCAAATGCTTCAAGCGAAAATTGCGAAAACAAACAAATATACGAACATTCCATTCACACCCAAATGCATTCGCACATGCATACTCGTACAAACAGACGGTAGGATGTCGTGCAATGTGAATTTGCACCCAACACAAACAACATCCAACCTTCACCTAATTGTACCCCTATAGTGCCTGCCCTGCTACACTATAGTCAACCGAACAAAACAGTACAATTTCGAGTTGGATAGAACTGAATCTGCGCAATCAATTCAACCGAACCGCAAAGCTTCCATCTTGGGTTTCTTTGCGAGCTCGTCCTTTCTGCTTGCACTGTTCATAGCGCGTACAATGTTGTGCCGAAGCGCACATTGCACGAGTACCTGCAAATGCTTCAAGCGAAAATTGCGAAAACAAACAAATATACGAACATTCCATTCACACCCAAATGCATTCGCACATGCATACTCGTACAAACAGACGGTAGGATGTCGTGCAATGTGAATTTGCACCCAACACAAACAACATCCAACCTTCACCTAATTGTACCCCTATAGTGCCTGCCCTGCTACACTATAGTCAACCGAACAAAACAGTACAATTTCGAGTTGGATAGAACTGAATCTGCGCAATCAATTCAACCGAACCGCAAAGCTTCCATCTTGGGTTTCTTTGCGAGCTCGTCCTTTCTGCTTGCACTGTTCATAGCGCGTACAATGTTGTGCCGAAGCGCACATTGCACGAGTACCTGCAAATGCATCAAGCAAAAATTGCGAAAGCAAACAAACACACGAACATTCCATTCACACCCAAATGTATTCGCACACGCATACTCATACAAACAGACGGCAGGATGTCATGCAATATGAATTTGCAACCAACAGCTCTTACCTTCCCTGCGCTGTCAGACCTCGCCACTGTCGCTGACGCAACAGTTAGAGTCTTCGTGTGTTGCTGCTTGTGCGCTCAGTAGCACAGATGCGGTTCCTGCGGAGGCGTTGCTCTCGGTCCCTATCACTCTGTCCGACCCCACATCTGGACTAGTCTATGCTCACCCCTCCACTGTTCTCTCATGTCTCGTAGTCCCCTCTGACTCTTCTGGCTCGACTGAGGGGGGTGACCCTGCTGCTGCCAGCACAGTGACCTGTCGCCGCTCGCCGCGCTTGGAGACACCTCCGGGTTTCCCGCTCCAGACGTCTTCGCCTCCTATGCAGCCTGTCACTTTGGACTTCGGGGGCCCATGTATTTTTGGGAGTGGTGACGCTGAGGTTGCTGGCTCTGAGGGTGCTGGTTCAAGGGGTTCTGGTTCAATGGGTTCTGGTTCTGGGGGTGCTGACTCTGGGAGTGCTAGGAGTCCTCTTGTTGGTGGACTTGGAGGTACTGGTACTGGAGGTGCTGGGCTTGGGGATGCGTTGCAGTGGCTCCCACGGCGGCCTATCCTTATAATGCAGCCGTCGTCGTCGCTACCTGAGCCGACACCCACTTGTACTACTCCTCTTTTGTTTCCGCCGCCTGACTTGTCTCGGCCACTATTGCGACCTGACTCTCCTCTGCGTGCTCTTACTCAATACCCCCCGTTGCCCGTCTCCCTGACTGGACGTTAGGTGCCTGTGTCTTGTGCCGCCTCCCCTGCTACCTCTCATGTTACTTGGGAGCCTGTTGTCCTGCCGTTACCTCCCCCGTCTTCTCTTCGTGTTGTTCCGAACCCTGTGTCTGACCTTGCTCGTGCTTCTCGCCCGACTATCCTTTGTTGTCTAGCCACGCTTGTGACTGCACCTGCTTCTTCGACTGTTGCTGCTTCTGCCTTAGTAGCCAAGCTCGCTGGCTTTGCCGCTACTTGCCGCCGTGCCTACCTTGCTAGTCTCGTTTCTGCCTCTTCGTATCCTACGTCCGTCGGGGGTGAGCTTGCCCTTGGCTGTGACGTCCTTGAGAACAGGCAGTTCGAGCTGAAGTACTTGCCGTACCCTCTCAGCATCCGGACTTTCTACGTTGCCCCCGGTAGACACCACCCTGCGCATTGGCGGGCTGCTAGGAGGCTGCTGCGCTACTTGGTTAGACTTGCGGGCAGAACGTAGCACTTGGCACGTTGTTCCTTTGCCGTGTGAGTGTTGCAGCAGCGTTCCCAGCTTCGCCTTTTGTACGTAGCCACAAGGGCCAACACTGCTTGTCTCTTGAACTTGACTTGTACTATGATATATAAACCTGCATGCTTCTGGTTGTTAGGTTGTAATCATTTTACTGCTTGCTCTATTATAAATCTGCATGTGAACTGGCCTTGTGGCCACTTGCTTGTGCTCGGAATTTGTGTGGTGTCCTTGAGATCCACCCTGGGCTTTGTTCTTCTCTTGACTGGTCTTGTGGCCGCTTGATATCCCCCACTTTCCCTATGGGAGTGTGTCAAATTACATTGCATATCTTGTTGTAGGCTTTAGTGGGGTAGCCCTTATAGGGTACAACCCTTGTTAGCGTTAGTACTTGTACTCATCTCATACTTCTAGTCAATTTGTGCACGTTATTTCTGACATGTACCCCTCGGAGTACATGGCTAGCTAATACCTTTTGTATTCCCCTGTATTCCTATATAAACCCCTTAACTGTTTGTACTGATCACTTCTGTCGAGGTTCAAATCTCGTACTGACAGGGTCCGTACCCGACTTCACTAGCAATATTCCGCTGCTACACTGCGTGCGATTAACCTAAGATGATCCTATAAACCGTCATTTCAAATTGTAGCATGGTATGAGAGCCACTTTGTATTATTCGAATCACCACCTTTGATTCAAATTCGAATCCACGTTGGCGTCCGGTACGCGCTCCCGCCGAAACATGGCTGGAGGATCTAGTGGGCAGGCGTCTCCCATTACCAAACTTCCCGCCAACCCTACCGCGAACTCCGCGTGCAACACCACAATCAGCAATGCGCTTCTGGAGCAACTCATTCGGCAAATTACCACCCTGGGATCAGGAATTCAATAACTGTAGAGCGGCGACCTCGCAGCAACCCGATCAATCTGTTGGTGTAAGGGCCTAATAAACTCAAGCTATTAGGACTTAATCAAACTTAAAACCTCTCCTCGGGGTCACCTCCAAGGGTCCCTGGGTGCCTGGTACAAGACCAGCCCCTATCCTCGGGTCCGAGTTTGTAGAGAGAGGGATCAAGAAGGACTTAGTCAAAACAGCAAGAGTACCTTGAACGTCGCGCAGCGTGCCGTGCAGACCGTCGATCGGATTAAGCTGAAAATTCGCTATATCGAAGCTCGCTCCAAGAGCTTTAAAATGAGCCAAGTTGCCTCGCGAAAAGTTCTGCCATTACTAAGTTATGGCTCGGACAGCGTTTGCCTAGCGTTGGAGTGCTAGCATACTAGCGTTGACTCGGGTAGCATTCCGCCGTCGAATAGCGCAGAAACGAAATTCCAGCGAGGAAGGAATTCGCTTGAATCAATTTGACTATATTCAGGTACAAACAGAGAAGGATTAAATAGTTATAGCTAGCAAGGACCTTGGGAATCAACCTGGGAACAACCAGGGATGATCCCAAATAATTCCAAGCAACAGAACCAACCTGGCTGGACAAAATAGCAGGTGGTAGGTTGGTAAACAACCTCTGGTTCTGTTTTTCCAACCTGGGAAAACAACAACCAGGTTCAGGTTCTAAAAACAGAACCTGTTTTGTCTTTGCCCAACCAGCCAAATGCTGGTTCCGCTGGTTTCCCCTGGCCTTGTAGCATGCAGATACAGACAAACAACATCCAACCTTCACCTAAATTGTACCCCTATAGTGCCTTCCCTGCTACACTATAGTTAACCAAACAAAACAGTACAATTTCGAGTTGGATAGAACTGAATCTGCGCAATCAACTCAACCGAACTGCAAAGCTTCCATCTTGGGTTCCTTTGCGAGCTCGTCCTTCCTGCTTGCACTGTTCATAGCGCATACAATGTTGTGCCAAAGCGCACATTGCGCGAGTACCTGCAAATGCATCAAGCGAAAAATGCGAAAGCAAACAAACACACGAACACACCATTCACACGCAAATGCATTCGCACACGCATACTCGTACAAACAGACGGCAGGATGTCGTGCAATGTGCATTTGCACCCAACACACTCCCCCTCAGCCTGCCGGCTGCATCCCCGTCATTCCATGCTAGTTCATGCTCATTCCACTCATGCGCACACAACGCC